CACGCACCAAGAGAGAGATAATGTTTGCGTGAGTGTGTGGAAAAATGAAGACTGAGCAGCAAATAATTGCTGTCTGACGGCACTCCAAAAACTGAAACTTGATTCTTTCCTCGAGACGCATGATGTCGAGCTTGTCGTAAGCAGAAACGCCTGCGTACGATAAATTCATCGGTACCACTGTGTGAAAGAAGAAGAACATACGGAATGTCAATATTTACTTTGGCCAGTCAAATGTCGTCTTTGATTTGATTTTTTATACAATTAATAGTAATAAGAAGACAATTATTTCCTCCTCACGTGCAGCAGACATCTTTAGAGCGCACCAGATGTATGCCGTATGCGAAATCATAATTAAATAGTAAGTTATGAGGGAGAGATATCGCAAAATTCAAGCACTATCGCTGTGTTATTTCAATATCTTATAGTTATTCAAGGCAGAGTGTCGCATGCAAAGTTCAAACAAAAATTAAAAAGAATGACTATATATGCTCGCAACATTCATATTTTGTTACTATAGTCTTACATTCAAAGGTAGCACTTCAGTGAGTTTAAAAATATATTAAGATTGCTTTTACCAATTTTTGGCTCAGAGCATCAATTGATGTTGAACAGTATTGTTTCGACACTAGCTAGATAGCTGTCGAATTCTAAATTGCATCTGAACGGAGAATTGCTAGCGCCGGCTGTTTCTGGATCGGATAGTTTCAATGATTTTATGGATTTAAACTAGGCAATCCGGAGAAGATACAGACTAACGAGTCCATGGATCACGCAATGCTTCTCTTTATCTTCCGCTTGTCTTTGCTCATCTGCTCTCGCCACACATTACTGACACAGCACACAGAACACTACTACACTAGCACGTGACAGCGCGGGAGATGGTCGGGAAGTTTTAGCTTGTCCGTATGGGTCTGTGTCCCTGGCGGGTGAGGGAAAACTACCAGCCGACGATAAGGTCGGGCGGATTACACCCAGGCAGGAAGTCAACCGCACGTCCAGAGAACACAAAAGTTGCAGTCCATTTACGGGTCTAATTACAGTCAGGTGACGGTGCCGAATTTACTAAGTAGTTCCGCAGACGCTTTCGTCAGTGGGGCTCTCGGCCGCCCACTGCGCTCCGGTCTATCGGCGCGGTCATTACGCCGGAGGAGCGTCGGGCTGGGCCTGGCGGGGCCTGAGGGCCGGTTCCCGCTGCGGCGGCTGGCGCGCCGCTAGAGTCGGGGGGGCGGGGCGGGGCGGGGCGGGGGGCAGGGCGGGGCAGGCCGCTCGCGGGCGGGCGGGGCGGGGCGGGGCGGTGCGCGGGGCGGACGGGGGGGGGACGGGGCGGGCGGGCGGGGGCGGGCGGACGGGGCGGGGCGCGGGGGGCGGACGGGAGCGGGCGGGTTGCGGGACGGGCGGGGCGGGCGGGTGGGGCGGTGGGGGGTGCGGGGGCGGGCGGGGATTGTGATTCGGGCGCCAGCACACTACCGGTGAATTTGTCTCCGCGTAGGACGGGTGGAGGGGCTGCGGGGGCCAAAATCGTGGGGCTGCAGGGTGAGGTTGTATGGGGACAACTGCGAGAGATGTCATATCTGGCCTGTGCGAAAGGTGGATGAGAGAAAAGAGGCGGAACCGAAAGGACAGGGGAGCGGAAACGTGGTGAGTGAGATGAAATGAAGGAGATGATTGTGAAAGTACAAAGAAGTGAAACGGGTACAGTAATTACTTTAAAAGGAGATGAACACGTGGAAAACAGATAATAATACTGTAATGGATGAGGTAATACTGAAAAAAATCGGAGTTGTATTGCATATTTGTCGTTGAGGTTAGGATAAGCGAATTCTGTCTATAGAATATGTTGACCGGTAGGTGGCGTTTTGAGCGCACAAGAATGATAATAAAAGATCGAGATAAAATGCTAACATATAGAAAGATGGACAACTTACAGAAAAAATTAAAAGCTAAAGAAAAGTAGATATTTCAAACTGGAATTCCAGAGCAATGTTTGATGGTGAAGATAAATGTATGGAAGAGCGGGCGGAGGGAGACGGTAACTGAGATGGGGGCGTAAGGATACAGCAGTGGACGGTAGAGATAAAAGAAGCGGGAGCTAGGGAATAGAGCAGCGGGTGGTAGGAATTGAGTTGCAGGTTGTAAGAAATAGAGCGTCGAGGTAGGACGGGAGATGTTGAGGCCAGTGCGACAGAATGGGGAGTGGGAGGAAGGGATAGTGCCAGCGTACGGCCGAGAATTGGATAGGTGGCATCGACGGTGCGGTGCGGAAGCCTGTGCGCGGGTAGGGTGAAGACGATAGTGCGAAGGTGGTGCGGGGAGTCGGCATGGGTGGCGGGTATTCGGTGCGCGTGGCGAAGGGAGGGGGGTAGGGACGTCATGCGAAAGTCAAAGCGAAGGAGAGGAAAAAGGGTGGTGGGCGTACGTAGGCGGTGTGAAGAGAGGCAAAGGCGAGGACAGTGCGGGGGTGAAGGAAAGGGCCAGCATGGAGGTGCGGGGCGCGATGGAAGGGGAGGAAGGGTAGTGATGGATGCGGAGGTGAGGGTCAAGAGAGGGAGAAGGGGAAGGCAGTACGGTGGAGGCAGGTGCGCAGGTGGAAAGAGAAGGGCGGGCAGTGGAAGGCGGATGCGAAAAGAAGGGAAAGAGGCGTGCTGTGGGGAAGCGGGTGAGATGAGAGGGAGAAGGGGTGTTGGGCGTTGCGGAAGCGAGCGCGAAGAGGGGGGGAGGGAAAGACATGCGGAGGGTGGGAGGAAAGCGACGAACACTGCGGGGCGGGCGCGGGGAAAGGAGGAAGGTGTGGTGTTCGGTGCGGTGGGGAGCGAAGAAAGAGACAAGGGAGGGCAGTGCGGATGTCGATGCGAAGGAGGAAGGGCGTGCGGTGCGTAGTGTGTGACAGAGGAGAGAAAGGGGGAGGAAGTGAGAAGGGTTGAAGGAAAGGGGCGAGCATCTGAGGAGCGAGTGAGAAGGAAGGGGAGGAAGGTGGTGTGGAGTGGTCGTGCGGAGGAAGGGGCGAAGAGAGAGGCGAAAGGGAGGCAATGCGAGGGCAGGTGCGCAGCGTGGAAGAAAGGGGCGGGGACTGGGAATGCGGGTGGGAAAGTGGGTGAGATTGAATAATGAGAAGGGGTTTCGGAGGCGTGTCGTGTGGTGCGTGGGCGCGAGAAAGGCATTGTCGGTGGGTTCGGGTGCGAAGGGCGGGCGCGAAGAGCGGGGGAGGGCGAAGAGAGAGGGAAGGGGGAGGGGCAGTGCAGAGGCAGGTGCGCAGGGTGGAAGGAGAAGGGTGGGAAGTGCGAAGGCGGATGCGAAGGGAGGCGCAAGAGGGGTGCTCTCGGGAAGGCGGTGAGATGGGAAGGAGAACGGGTGAGGGCGTTGCAAAGGCGGTGCGAAGAGAGGGGGAAGGTTGCGGAAGGCGCAGGGAGTAGAAAATAGGGCGTGCTGCGGGGAAGCGGGTGCGATGGGAGGGAGAAGCGATGGTGGGCGTTACGGAGGGGCGGGGGAGGGAGGCGCGTGAGCGGAAAGCGCCGAGCGGGGCCGCGGCGCAGGAGGCGCGCCGGAATGGCGCGGAGAGGCGGCGGCGCGCCGGAATGAGGCGGCGCGCGGCGCTGCCGCGGAGTAATAACGCGCGGACGGGAGCAGCGGCGGTGGAGGACAGGCGGCGTAATGTGGCGAGGCGGCTGCGCAGGGGCGGAGGCGATGCCCGGACGGAGCGACCCACCCGCCGCACGGCGCTCCGACGAGCGGAATTGACTACGCGCGAGGCACCGCGGAGTCGGTGGGGAGGAGAAGGAAATGAACACGGGGCGCCGTTGGCTGGGGATGCAATGCAGCTGCTGCAATGGGATCACAGGCTGAGTGGAGGGAGTGTGTTTGGAATCCTACGTGCACTGTTCCTGTGAGAGAGGTAACTAGAGATTGACAGTGGCTGTAAGAGAGGTGACCACAGAAAGAGAATTAGCGAAGATGGGGCGAGGACAGACAGGGGATGTGTATGCGAGTGCGTGGAGATGAGGCGCAGAATGGCGTTGGTGGATCGTGTGCCGAGCGCGAGCGACGGTGTGCGCGTGAGAGAGTGGCGAGGCTATTTTGGCGAGCGACGACCCGCTGGCGCGCCTTCAAACGCGATGCCTGCTGCCAGAGGTCTCGCAAGCTGGCGGCGGGAGATGAAAGGCAATATGCGCGCGCCGTCAGAGGCGCGGCGTGGATTGGAGCGGCGCCGTATAGCGTGAAGGTGGCGGCTAGGGGCGGTGGCGAGGTGCGGGCGAGGACGGGGCGAGGGGGCGGCGTGGGCGGCGGCGAGGGCGGGGCGAGGGCGGCGGCGAGGGCGGCGGCGAGGCGGAGGGAGGGCGGCGCGAGGCGGAGGCGAGGGCGGAGGCGAGGACGGCGCAAGGGCGCGGCGAGGGTGGCGGCGAGGGCGGGGCGAGGGCGGCGGCAAGGGCGGCGGCGAGGCGGCGGCGAGGGCGCGGCGAGCGGCGGCGGAGGGCGGCGGCGAGGGCGCGGCGAGGGGCGGCGAGGGCGGCGGCGAGGACGGGGTGAGGACGGGCGAGGACGGGCGGAGGACGGGGCGAGGACGGGGCGAGGGCGGAACGGGACGGAGCGAGGACGGGGCGAGGACGGGGCGAGGACGGGGCGAGGACGTGGCGAGGACGGGGTGAGGATGGGGTGAGGACGGGGCGGTACCAGGGCAATGACCCGAGCGAAACGCCGTGCGTCCACACACGAAGCGGCGCCGAGTCTACTGTGAGGTGGCGTTGTGCGCATGCGTGCATATATTTGCAGCTGCATGTGAGAATACTCGTGACCTCTAGTATTCAGAGACCTGTGTCACAGTGGTGACCTTTAGACTCAGTAAGCTAAACAATGTTGCTACCGCTAAATCTATTCTCTTAGTGGGACTTGCAAGTATACTCTGATGTACCAATACACCAATGAACCAAGGGAAGATAAATATTTAAGTGAAACATTGGATGGTGGTTTTCTGAAGACGTCGCTAATTAATTGCCCTTGGAGTAACAATAAATTAAATAAACCACAAAATTCCAATTAAACATTTTCAACAGTGGTGAAGTGTAAGTATAATAGAATAATTATGCAAGATTTGGTAATATTTATGGAGCATCAATCATTTGTCGTAATGATAGACAATCCTGTGAAGATATTGACTCATGTTTAGAAAATGTGTTGACTCATTTATTATGAATAAACAACAAAATAAAAGGGGTTTTGTACTATATACGAATATTTAGTACGACATACTGCGAATTACACAGTATCAAAAAATTTCGCTAAACACTAATATTCTGTAAACTGATAATTCTGTAAACTGAAAAGTCTACAGAATATATTATTTCCTTTACACTTCAGGATTACCTAATAATTATTTACAAAAACTATTTAAGATCAATTACTTCTTGAATGCCTTTTACCGTGATCCTGAAGTATTATTCTTGTTCTTTTGTTTTATATTATATATTAATATTGATTTGCTTGAATTTTAATGGTATTATTACTGTATTAACTTTGTATTCATTACTCAATACTTTCATAAACTTCACACTTGATTTATCATGTTTGTTTTGTATTTGAAAAACAGAGTACTTTTGTGTTAATGAATCATTAAATTTTATTAAGACTTATGAATCTGCAAAAATGAGAACTGTTCAAAATAGTCTATTTAGATCATCTATAATATCAAGATATGACCTCCTCAAATGGAATCTGGATACCTAAATCTACCTTAGTAAGTGTTATAAATACAAAGACTACAGATACACAACATGGTATCATTATTCCCAAAACGCTCATTTGCTGTTTCTCAAAATAGGACTAATTCAATTCAACTTCACAAATGAAAATGTATGTGCCGATGTATCTTTCAAAATATATAATGTGTATCACATTTAGTAATGTCCAAAAATACCAGGATAATGTTAGAAATAATCATTTTTAGTATTTAGTAATAATAATAATAATAATAATAATAATAATAATAATAATAATAATAATAATAATAATAATAACAATAATAATGAATTCCTCAAATACATTTTTTTCCTGGTTAACGAATGTATGCTACTTATGTAATTTTTCAATATGTAAATCATGCGTCTTCAAATAACGCCAAACACAAATAAAGTGTGAACATTTTATCATTCGCCGAAGATTCGGACCGCGTCGCCCGGGGAGTAGAGAGATCGCTCGCCCAGCGAAGAGCTGACTCAACGCCTGGGTTTGTCATACGGGAACTGTTGCCGCGCTTAACTTACCTTTAAGGAGATGCTGAAAGTGGTGTCCTTCGGCTTGATGGTATTCTTGTCACCTCCGGAACATATTCTGATTACCCTTTGAAGTAAATCTCGAAGAATTGCTGCTATGTTTTCTTCAATAGAGCGCCTGTTGCGCGAGACGCCGTAAATATTTCCATAGAGATTGTTGTAACCTGACAGAGATTTCTTTCACCTTCACTTGTGCCAGGGCATGTCACTTTCGACACTTGTTTATCAATTAACATTCCATGAGTGCAAAGTTTCATGCCAAGCTTCAAAGTTGTCTACCGTCATGGAATATTCACGCCCGGAAATCACTACCCTGGTTGACAAGCCCCCTGGACACCAGGGGCTCGATCACTGAGGCAAGCAGCGCATCATTGGCGAAAGATAAAATGTGCACCCGGTACATACATTTCGAAGATTTATAGTTATTCAAACCTAGATAAACTGCAATGTAGTATAAATAATTTCTCAAATTGATGTATTTTTGTTTCGCAAAAATGTGGAACACAAACACAATGACAAGAAATAACTTTCAAATATCTTGTTACATCAAAATAAGAGGTTCTGTGATAACACAAGGGTCTAAAATATATGTCTCCTATTACATAATGTGTAATTTTTCGGACAAAGTGAGTTAATATCAAAATTGGCGTTTATCGCACGGATCACGAAATTCTCTCAAAATACACAATTTTTTTTATAAATAGATATCTGCAAGTGTAGAAGTGAAGTCGGTGAATATACTGAATTGTACAATTATTTCACTGGGAGTATGATGGTCTAATTGGTTCTCTTCATTTTGAAAAATACCTTCAGATTTATTGCTTTATTTGCCGCTGAAGAAATTGTGTAATATCATTTATTTATTAATATATTTACACTTTAATAATTAAAAATAAAATGTAATCCGAAATTATAGAGTTAATGGTATCACCGATATTCAAAACAATGTAAAGTAATATACGTGAAAAATCGTAGATTTCTTTCCGCACAATCGAAAAATAATTAAAACTTGTGTAACACAATCATTGAACCAGATAGTTGGCTAGTTCAATTATTGCGTCGGTCTTCGTCCTTACTGCTTAGAGCTGACACTCACCTGCAGTGCGCGAATCCCTGCCGACGCCGACGCCGACGCCGACCTCGGGGGCCTGGCTGTGCAGTCCTCCGACGTCGCTCCGTCGCCGCTCGACGCCACCGCTGCCGATGGCGCCGACGCCCCTTCCCCTCCGCCTCCAGCGCCACCGCCGGCGGTGCGTCGCGACGCCGCATCGGCGACACATAACCACCTCACTCTTTGGGTAGAAAACTCAGGGAACGGTTCGCTCCCTGGGAAGGGCCAGTTCTGTGCGTCTTGGGGAAGCGAGAAGTACAGAGTCTCTGTGACATGCATCCCTGGTTACGAAAGTTTTGTTATAAAAGGTAAACCCAATTGTCTGGGTTTGATGTTGTACCTGAAGAATTACACGGTGTCATCGGTTCGCTACATGCGAACAATGCCACTGCATAATTATGTTACGTTATGGACTGCATTGGCGACAAAAGTGTTTGAATTAAGTTAACAGTTTCCACACGCATGAATAAGAAAATGAGCGTATACAGGGATGTGTAGTAAAATACAAACGAGAGTTGGTATTTCGGGGATAAAATGATTTCACTTAAAAATACCGTTAGTTATCACTTCTTCTTAAACTCTTCTCTCATCATATTAGATGCATATGATGAAAAATGAGTCCGCGAAATGATTCTGTTTCTTGAAAAAATATTCACTTCTATGAGGGGAAAAATTACAAATATCTTTCTGCACTCTCGTTAAAGCAATGTACACAGTCTTTTCGCAATCAAAGGCAAACTCATGCCTTTTGAAAGTCCTTCAAAAATAACTTCATACATGGAGCAGGATATTTTTTCCATATTTTTCGATATTTTTGGTTTCACTTAAAAAATAAACACTTGCAAAATAACGGTCTTAACATTTATAGCTTTAATAGGTTATGCTTTGTTATTACATTATCCACAGTACTATAAGAACGTACGGTTTCAAAGAAATAACTTGTATTCCATTCATTCATACGTAGGCATAGACAAACACGTCCAAATGATGCACGTCTCACACTCCAACAAAAGTGGACACCATGAGTCAATAGTCTGTATGTTTGCTTCTTTTTTTTCTCTCTCCAAAACTGCAACTACAGGCATAATCGCACCCCCTTTTGTTCACTTAAAAACCCGAGAATGAAGAAAATAGTCTTCGGTTCATAAAATATTTCGGAGTACACATTAGAGGGATAACATAATACGAAGCTGTTATATCCATCATTCGAGTTCGTTACACCGCTGGGCGCGGCGTGTTACTCACGACACAGAGTTCCTTCACAGCGCACACTACGTGTTAGGGACTCAACAGCAGCAGACACACGCAAAATATTAAACAGTAGAGGTGCGACGAGCGGTGGTGCGCTTGGCCCCCGTGCTGCATTGCGGCTGGATATTCACCTGCAACAAGGCAAAGGACCAAAAAGAACATCCGCTCCGGACAGGCGCATCGCTGGCCGCGCCCTTCGTCACGGAACGCCACACAACTAATTAAACCGTAGTGGCACTTCGAGGTCATCGCCTGGACGGAAAAGGGGACACTGTCACCCTATCGGGAGCTTAGTTATGACTTACATTTTTGGTATGGGAGCTCCCGATTGGATGACAATGTCACCTTAACCTTCCAGCTCGTGACCTTGCAATGTCGCTACGTTTCAGTCGGATTATGTACTTCGATTAAAACAGTCATTCCTTTCATGGTCACGAGCTGAAAGGAGAGAGGAACACTGTCAACCAATTGGTAGCTGCGTTACGGCGTAAAGTTTTGCTATTGGAACTCCCGATTGAATGACATTGTCCTCTGCTCCAACCAGGTAGTGACTTTCAAGTGTCAATACGTTTAAACTGGAGTATACACATCGATTAAAACAGTAAGATCTTTTAAAATCATGAGCTGGGCAGAAAGGGAGGCATTTTAACCAATCGGGAGCTTCGTTAGGACTTGAAGTTTCGGTATTGGAGCTCTCGATTGGATGACAATGTCCATCTCTCCTATCAAATCATGACCTTCAAGTGCCACTGGGTTTAAGTCGGAGTACATTCTTCGATTAAAACAATAAGTCTTTCAAGATCACGTGCAGGACAGAAAGGGAGACTGTCACCCAATCGGGAGCTTCGTTACGACGTTTGGTATTGAAGCTGATTGGATGACAATGTCCACCTCTCCTCTCAGATTGTGACCTTGAAGTGCCACTGCGTTTAAGTCTGAGTACCTATATATTTCGATTAAAACAATAAGTCTTTCAATATCATGAGTTGTCAGCAGAGAGAGACACTTTCATTTAATAGTGAGCATCGTGAAATATCTAATCTTATTCATTCAATAGTGAGCATCTTTTCAACTAATGAACTTGAAATTACACAGTTTTAATCGAAGTTATAATCGCCTTCGGACTTCGAGCGCTCCAAATGGCAAGGTTACATGCGACTAGAAGGAAATTGAGCATTTTCAATGTTTTCAGGAGTCGGATAATGGTTTGCAGAATGATGTAATTGTCATCTATGCTATATATCATGACCTTTTGAATTTATATTGGATTGTGTTTCTTTCAATCAGTTAAAACAACTCAATTATCTACGAATTAACCATGTGGTTTTCTTTGCGTGTATCGGGGCTACGATAGATACAATGGCTCTATAAAACAATCTAATCGTCTTCATGGAAGGTTTCCTACAAGTCTGATATGAAATATTGTTAGTATGTTGTCTCTCTGCCAATAAAGGATTCGAAGATTTAAAAGCATTATTTCTGCAAAATTTCAGTAAAATTTTGTCATTCAGAGTTCGCAATTATCATAACTGAAGGGTTCGGAGCAGCGTAATTATAAACATAATTTCTCACAACCAAAGCATTCGAACTTGTCCATCTTAGACGTTTTACTAAAAATAAGCATTGTGAGAAATGCTGAACAAGCACGATACACAAAATGAATTACACAAAATTAAAAGAAATGATGAGAAAAGTAACAAATAACAGAGACATATCTGAATTTACATGAAGCTGTAATTTCCTTCGGTATAAAGAAATTACAGAAATTAATGTTGCTCCGAGCCCCGCATTTGAAGAACTTACTTTAAAAAGGTATTTTTTAAAAATTTTGCATGAGACGGAACTATTTAATTTTTTTCAACTCTTTGTATTCTTGATATTGGAAGGAACACAAAAACGCTTTAAACGCGTGCAGCAATTCTTAAAAAAAAACATAGTGAGTTTTGCTTTTGTCTTGCACCCTTTCTAAACAAAACACAGCACGAATAAGAGTTCAAATTTTGTTATTACAAACTAATAGTGAAAAGTAAATGTATAAAGTATATGAACTTATTACGGTGTATGATTTTCGAATCACATATATTTGAAGAAATTATTGGTTCTGGTAATCTATGTCAAGAAGCAAAGCGAGGGACAAGTTAGAAAATTTATCGGCAATGACAGATACACTGGGTGAAAATCCGACTAAGAGAATGACATGGGTCAAGAATATTTTCAAATAGTTTAGTTGTTGTTACTACAGAGTCTCTTCGATTCTAAATTATATAATATATTATTATAGTTAATAACAATAATAATGTAGTAAAAGTAATATAGTATAGTACAATTACCCAAATATACTAAAAAATCTCGAGTTTGCAATATTTTTTTTTGGAAAAGTCGCCATTCTCTGAATTCTACAGATCCTTTTTCATTCTCTGAATTCTACAGATCCTTTTCCACTGAAAGGGGTTTTCGTTACAATATTCACGCCGTATACACATGTGTAATCCTGCCCATTACATGTAATTGTGTAGGATTGCATGACCATAAAACTTGCAGTGGTATTGGAAATGTGAAGTTCGTAACCACTGATTTTGGAATTTCAATCGAGAGCACATGGCTAAACAAAAGAATGACCCAGTATCGACATGAAATTTAATTAAAAAGCGAAAGAGACTAAACCAGATTCATAAATTAATCCTGGTATTGTACGGCAAAAATAACAATAGCTTAGGCGGTTTTGTAAGCCCTACAGATTTTTTGTAATATTATAATATTAATTCACTTGTCAATAAAAAAATACATACGTACGTTCGATGCATTTCTACTTCAAATTTATGTAACAAATATTATTCAGATATTGAAATTAAAGGGTTTTCTAGAATAAACATTTATATTCAAAGAGTTTAATCTTGTTCTTACTGGTCATATTGGCCTAGCATTTTTTTATGAGGCTGATATTTTATTAGGTGTTTTTCGCTGGTAGGAATATTCCTATTATTTTTGAACAGGACTTATGTACAAGGGCTCAGCTCCTTTTGAGGTGTTTTAGATGGTGATGAATTTCACAAATACTAGTTGCGGCAAACGCAAAATCTCGGAGTTTACAGCCTTTAAGGACACAAATACACGGAGAAAGCCAGCCTATACCATGTCTGCGTCGCCCGGTCTGCCGAGAGTACGCACATCAACAGTCGCATACCAGTGCCGTTCCGGTACCCGGACAACATCGAGGGAGGGGGCTACGGTGGACCGAGAATAAATTGCCGTACAATTTTATTTAATGTATCTTATTATTACAGACAATGTGGTTAAAAATTAGAATTCTGTTAATAAAATGAGGAAAGTTGGTTTATTTCACCAGCAATCTATGCGTCATCATCTTCAGACACATTACTTTGACTAAAATGAAATTCAATTAATATTAAAAATGAATTCAGTCAGTATGAACGAAGAAGATATAGTGTAAACAGAAAAAAAATATTAGTGGAAGCTTACCTTTCATAGATACATTACATATTTATTGTTAACATGGATACTAATGCCAAGTTTAGTTATTTCAGTGAGAGCAGGAAAACCAAAGATTTCTTTCCTCATTTTCATTTACTGAAATCTAATATTTAACCTAATTATCTAAAATTAAATAGCATTTTGTGTTTACAAAAATAGGACAATCAATAGAAACTTAATACAATTTTGCATACTTAAGAACTTCTTAACTTAAAATATACTGAAAGTATACAGGTATTTAGCCACAAAAATAAATCATTTTCTGCAAGCTTGTGTTACAAATTTTCATCTATCATTTGTCGCTGTGGTCCTTTCTGCGGGGTTAGAGTCTGTTAATGCCCTTTTAAAAAAACTACACTCAAAACTGATAAGAACAAGTTCGTTTGAACATATTTTTTAGTATAACGTCTAAAATGTTAGGTCCCGGTCGAATTCTATGAACTCACCTTGACTGAAAAACTGTTTATTACAACATTGCTTAGAACGAATTATCGATATCAACGACCTCTTTTGCTTCTATTGATCTAGAAAGCGTATCGATTACAACAAACAATCGTTTATATACTTTTCTTCCACTGCTTTTGCCAACTTAACAGTACGAAGAATCGGTACTGCTCGTACAGAACAAGAGGCCCAACAAAACATAGAACGCCCTTGGGGAACTCTGAGAATGGGTAGTGTGTTAATTTTCGGGCACCCGTGGAGCTGTTGGGAAGTCTCGAAACACGTCAGTGTATGAAACGATGTGTTAAACGAAAAGTGTAGACAATTTAAGAAACAGCTCATATAAAATTCAGATTAGATTAGTAGTAGAGTATATGGAGTATTAAAATAATAATTTTAAGCAACTTATGGGTCTTTGGTCCTAATATCTATTTTCTAATATTAGTTTACTTTCTAACTGTGCATAAGTCGCAATGAGTGACAAAACATATATTACGATGTATAAAGACAATCTGTTATAACGCCCAAAATTATCGGTCTCTTCAAGGTCATTAAAACCGATTTTAACTCTAGTTCTACAACGACATTGTTGAAATACTCAACTTTCATCTACACCGACTTATACTAAAATAAAACAGTATCGTGTATATGGGCTGTATGAGAGCGTTAAAGTTTCCATCGAGCAAAGAACGATAAGTTTCCAGTTTTACGCCTAATTTGAATAGCTTTGAAAGCCTCTGATAAGCATAGAGAGGTGAAATTATCACTTAGGGTTAAGAACGGTTCTAATAATACAAATATAAACGGCGGCAAAGCAATTACTCCATACTTAAACAAAGATCGATGAAAAATCTACTCGGTCCATTGGTATGCGACTGTTACAGGGATCTATCTCAATAAGCTGTAGAAGTGCGGGGTGCGCTACAGCTTACCATTCAGCACGTGAACGGTTATGCTCTTGGACTGGGCATTGGAAGGGTTGCACTGGTACCGGCCCGAGTCAGAAGGCTTGGCCTTCTGGATGAGCAAGAAGCTGGTCGTGGTGTCCCCCTTCTCCGTGATGACGCTCACCCCGCCGCGCGGGGAGTCGTAGCTGATGATCTGGAACAAGGAATCACATCATATTGGTGAATTTGTGTGCGATTGCATTGGATAAAGTATTTGGGTACGTGTGATCATTACCCCTTTTGACATAAAGGATACCCGAATCAGTACTTACAATATTTACATGACGTCTATAATACTCGTAATACTGATTTAAACGTGTATCCGAATACTAAAATAGTATAAAGCAGATTTTAAAAAAAAGGATATTTGTTTCGCAAGAACATACGTTTTAGGACATTCCACAACGCAGATATACACGCAAGTATCTATCAATTAGTGCGTCCGTCATCGTTAAGATGCTCAGAGCGTATTCAAGTTTAACCGGCCAATGATGTAGACAGTCACTACTCAACTGGTGTAATCTAATTAGTTGTTGTATTTACACAGGAATCCATCCTAGAAATATACCATTCGTGAATTAACATTTGCGTAGCCTATTTTTACTTTAAGTAGATGCTTGAATGTACCACATACATCACGTTTACAAAATACCTATCGAAATACGGCACCGCTGATGCTTTAAACTGCTTTAAAATATTTTCTTGTGTTGAAAATTTCTACTGCAAAACGCCATAGGTAAGCGAATTACATTTGCCTTTATTATTGGCATATTTCGGTATTCGTGAACAAATATTGACGTTAGATTTCGTGTGCTGTATTAAGAAATTATTATTAATTGCATTTCAAAACTTATTTTCAAGTGCAGTTATGACCGTTATAATTTCAATTTGAATTTAAAACCGTGTTTAACCAAACAACTTCGCCAGAGGCATTGGAAGGGAATCAAGTCACTCCTCACCGCCCGCATCCACGTGGGGCATGTGGGAGATCGGGAGCCCCATTAACGCGAAACAGGTCACGCGAAGCACCTCTCTTGTGACTGTTTCACGGAACGTGCTTCGCCCCATGCACTCTGCCCCTGCGCCTCTTAATGCTGCAGTCATTTGTTGTTTTTTTTGTTAATACAGCGTTCCAATCGGAGGTGACTCCGCATGGCCACACACCACTCCGTTCCCCCACCCCCACCCCCTCGCCCCGCTGCCTGCTTTCCGCGCCGCGAAGCCGTCGCCCCGAATTATGGAAGCTTTTGTCATGCAAAAGCGCCCGCCCATTTGCTGGAGGAGGGGATGGATGGGGAGGCAGGGGTTGAGGATTGACGGGTGGGGGGTGTGGGAGAGGGCAAGGATGGGGTTACGTGCAGGAGAACGGCGGAGTGATTGAAGGGTGACGAGAGGACAACAATTCATGGGTGGCGACGTGCTGGTGATGGGAGTGACGGCGATGGTGAAAGCGTTCGTGGTGGTGATGGTGTGGAGAAAGTGATGGAGGTGCAGTTGATGGCAATGATGTTTACGGCGATGTTTGTGGTGGGGTAGTGGAGCTGATAGTGATGAAAGTTTTTGTAGTGATATTGATGGTGATCGTAGGATAAGTGTGAATAGGTTGACGAAGGGTTTGGGTTGGACCGAGCGTATATATGAGATGATGATTCAAAGGACAATAAAGGAAGGTGACAAGATGACGAAGACGGTGTGAGTAAAGGTGAAATTGGAATGAGTGAGAATTGAGAGAGCAAAAAGTGTGATGTGGTTGAGGAAATGGTGTTGAGGGGGACACGTGTAAATCTGCGAATGGGTGATATGAACGTTTGAAATTCAATGAAATTAATTTCGAAAAAGTTTTGATAATACACTCAGGAGTTTTTCACAAATTAATAAACACCGGTCTGGATATTCAAGTTTTTTAGTTCCATCGTGAAGGAAGTTCTTTGACTACGTTTGAAGGAAAAATGAAAGATTGAAACATTCCCTATATTTGTAGTACAAGGGTTTCTAAGTGTCTGATTCTGGCATCGTTTATCTGTCTAACGGTATTTTACGGTCTACCAAATGAATACGAAGAAGAAATAAGAAGCAGAGAAGAAACGTTTCACAAAGATGTAACCTCGATCGTTCATCTTAGCCTTTTTATGCCATTTGTTTTTGCTATCATATTTCTTGTTCCATGAATGATCACTGTCAAGAATTCAAACCAAAGATTGTAATTATAATGTTGTTTGTGTAGTAAATAATTTCACCTTGACGCAACTACAGAGTGCAACCGAGAAAGAGATTATGTGGCTGATTCTCCAACATGGCATTGAACGGTGGCGATGATATCAATAGAAATGGCGAGTCCGAAGTTAGAAGGTAAGTAGTATCAAGCAAAAGGAAATGAGCAAAGCAGAGACATTTGGACGGAGAGAATAGGGGAAAGCAAGGGCGGTGAAGGGGAAAATCTGAAATTAGACAATAAATATGAAAAAAAAAATTATTTTACAGCTATCATTTATAGCTAGATAAAACGGTGTGAGAGACGAAAGTGCAACATAGCTGCACATGAATATATTTTGCAATGTACACGTCAGAGAATCTTACGAACATTTTGTGATAACAACAACAAACAAGACAGGGGTGAAACTAAGAAGCAACCATAAGAAGAAAATGGGCAATGCTCGTGATAAAAGCAACGGCAAGGGGAGTTAAAGTGGAAGGCCTTGAGATGAAAACGGTAAAAAGTATTTCACCTCCCTTGAGAGGCGTGAACTGAACATTCTAAGATGCAAATGGTGGAGGGACAGCAAAGTGCAGTTGATGGCGTTGTGAAGTGAGGGTTGGTTTCTGTAATGGAAGGTTTTACAACCAACGCACACACATTCAGTTTTGTAGCAATAGGCGAAATTGCAAACAGGGTCCTCGCTCACTTTTAAACGGCCGCGAAGGTCCCTGGACGACGAGGTTGGGGACAGCGTGATGAGGGGAGACCTTCGACATTGTCACACAATGGGCCGAAAGAGCAGAAAGGTAACCATTGTCAAAACAGAATATAAAATAATGTAATAATATAAAAATAAAGAATTAACGGACAGGGAAAATAATTTAAGTAATGTAAAGAGAATTGTTATTCACTTTTGTTCTGTTCTTAAATAACTGCAATGTATATTTCACTTTGCTTCTACGAGATCCGTGTACACAAAGGTTGAGTAAGTGATGAAATAACTGGAAGAGAAACCCGAAAGAAAACTGTGCCGAACACGCTATGCCAATCAAAAAATCAATTATATCTATAGGCCAATATTTCAAATATTAAACACACGGGACGATGTCTACAGCGATAGCTCCCCTTCGTAGAATAATCGAAGTTTAAATGAAAGTATCATGGGAGGAATTGTAGCTCACCGACCGCTGCGCTACGTGAGTGTGCTGTAGGCTAAGCGACCGGCAAAGGCGGCTCAGGGCATCAATTGATGTCACTGCAGTGCCTCTGACAGAGAGAACCTAGAGTTCGAGTCCCGACGGTGGCAAGGTTTCGAAACTAGCTACAGAACTAGGTCGAATTCAGCCACTGACTGGAGGAGAATTCAAGCGGCCGGCCGCTCTGATCGGTAGTTTTCGGGGGTTCACCGACCCACACCAGGCGAATGCCGAAGCAGTAATCTAACAAACGGACCACGGATCATCCTCCTTATCCTTCCAACAACTCTTACTTACACACACACACACATACATGCACTACACTACCGTACATATCGGAAGACAGGCCAATAGCTTTGAAATTATCTTGGATGGGGGGGGGCGCTGGGGGAGATACCTAGTTGGAGAAACCCCAACCAGACTGAGGCCACGTCCAGAGACACTAATCAATCAAGCAACCGCCGTGTAGTTCAGTGCCGGCCCCACCATCCACCCAGGAATGATCACCCCGACCTCCCGTGACAAACGTACAATACACTTATTGGACTAATAATCCGGAATCACTAATCAATTGATCCACAAATTCCACTCCAATGGCCAGGGCTTTGACCACTTTCCTCCCGCGGCGGGCGGCGGGCGCTCCGGCCCGCGCCAAGGGCCGTTCGAGGAGGACTCCCGGCCCACTGCGCGCGGTGACGCGTCGCGTGTTCCTCAGGGTGAGAGGGCAGATTGGCTCCGAGCGCCGGTGAGCCCCCTTCGCAAAGTCGCCGGCAGGAGGGGAGCCCCAATCTGTTTCCGAAATCCGGGCGTAATTCAGGGAAAAAAAGCACGGCTTCCTCCTACACGAGGGAGATTTGCAAGCATTGCGGAATCTGAGGGGAAGCTGGTAGGGGGCAGAGAAGGAAGAGTGACGTTTATGGGCGGAGCGTACTCGTGTTAACATGAAACGATAAACGGTATTTATTAGTAGTTTTGACATGTTTTAACGATGTCACGAATTTATGATGATTCACGGATTCCAAGTTCCACAAAAATGTTCTATTGCAAAATATAATTTTTATGCCAGTTATATTCGTTATTATTAAATGGAAATGTACATTGAGGAACTTGAAAATCGTGTGAACTAATGCAATTTTTTACCATTCATACTATGTAATTCCTTTATGAAAAATCTGGGACTACGAATCATATCTCAATAGGATTTTTCTTCAATTCTCTTTGTTTCATAAACTAAAACGTTAATTTATTCTTGAATTTGCTTGCTCTCTGCGGACATTCATATGTATCCATTATAATAAAATATTCTTCTATTTTTCGACGTTCAATGGAATTTATAAATCATCAATTTTTATGCATTTTCAAACGCTGAAGTTGCATTCCGACATGTTTGATTATAAACACTAAGTGTAAATAAAAACGCAATAAACTCCAATTTAAAAATGGCCAATATTTATTCGGTTAGTTTTACGTAATATTGAATATTATACAAAGAGGTCTGAACAAAAAAGTTTGTATAGCTTGCAAATGCTGGTCAGCTAAATTCAGTTCTATGTTAAGAATGGAAAAAAAGATCTCTCCGTAATATACTCTACCATGGCCAACCAAAACATGCTACATAAAATTAGCAAATAAAGAAAAAAACAGGAACTCAATAATGTTACCCTCCAATGTAAAAAGTGGTTCAAATGTAAACAAAGAACCGTAAAGCAGGGAATAAAAAGAAATTAAAAAACAAAACAGGATTTTCATTTTCTTATTCTAAAAAGTAAGTATATTGAAATAAAGTGGCTGTTACTTATGTCAATGCATTATTACACATGTTTAAGATACAAACAATATTTTCTCCGTGTGCCGCGAGTTGTGCAAAATAAAAAAGTTCCTTCGGAACTGCACTGGCGGTAATTGCCAAGTTTTATAAATTTCAGGAGTTTTTGTTTATTAAATTAATTAAATGAATATACAAAAACATACTAAATTAGCTTCAATTGAAGAAACGCGAGATATTGGACTAGATGTGGAAGCTCAGTAGACATGTGTGTATGTATACGTGTATGTGTGTATGATTTTTTATAACAAGATTTATTTGAGAGGAAGGTAGAACTCTACAAAATGGATCCCGGTGTTTTCGGAGAAAGCGAGGAGCTGAGATGAGTACATAGAATCTTAAAGAGTTTTATGGAAGAGAGAAATTTGATAGTACGCGTGTGTAAAATTCTTAAAAGATATTAAGGATGGAAAGAACGTGAGTATTAAATTCAAATTATTAAATTAACATCAAAAATATTCGGAAAAAAATAATTCATTTTTTATATAAACGTTTTTAAAATTTATATTGTTTTCTTTAATTTTTGAATCTCCAAAAATAATATTTATATGTTGTTTCACAAATCAAAATAATGTTATTTTTAAAGCAATCTCACTTGCATAAATCATCTCCTTCGATATAAATTATTGCTTTTGGTTTCCAATTTTTATATCTATATGTTTGTTGTTTTTTGATTATTGTCTTTTTTGTCTAGAAAGTGGGACCTTTTGCTAAACTTCGGATTACAGGTGAATCCACAACAAACATAGTTACGCCTGGTCATGAAATATTTCTCTAAGATTCACGCCTACATTATAATCTCCATAGGAATCCTGCCATCTTACGCACCCCAAATAATTTTTTTTTCCAT